CTCTGCTGTGCACTCTCCCATTCGGATTGTCACCACAGCTGGCTGCTTCTCTCGTGGAGCTGAAGCATGCAGATGGGAGCAGCAGCATCCTGCCCTTTCCTTCCCTCCCTCCTGCCCACCACCTCACCAGGCCCCACGTTCTTCCCGTAGCTATTTGGGTTGGATGTCCTTGGGAGAAAGGCGGGGTTAAAGCAGGCCATCACTCCTGCACATGATCTGGTCTCGTGGTGGCACAATTCAACAGCACCGGGCTCTGATTTTGGGGTGGAAACTAGCAAAGCAGTGCTATACAGAGACATTCTGACTGGTCCAGGGTCTGAGCTCTGACTGAGATGCAGACCATAGAATCATAGAATGGTCTGGGTTGAAAAGGACCACAAAGATCAACTTGATTCAAACCCCTGCTATGTACAGGGTTGCAACCACCAGACCAGGCTGCCCAGAACCACATCCAGCCTGGCCTTGAATGCCTCCAAGGATGGAGCATCCACAACCTCCTCAGGCAACCTGTTCCGGTGTGTCACCACCCTCTGTATGAAAAACTTCCTCCTAATACCTCACCTAAGCCTCCCCTGGCTCAGTTTAAGACCATTCCCCCTTGCCCTATCACTATCCACCCTCATAAACAGCTGTTCCCCCTCCTGTTTGTATGCTACCTTGAAGTATTGGAAGGCCACAGTGAGGTGACCCTGTTCTTTGCAGGAGAGTTGGACCAGATGACCTTTAAAAGGTCCCTTCCAGCTCGAACGCCTCTGATTCGACAGGGAAGCCCAGGCTGTAGCTGCCTCCTCCGCCTGCCGCGGGGCGTCGCGGTTTGGGCCTCCTCGCCCGCCGTCGTCCCTTCCGCTGTTCGCCCTCAGCTGTCGCCGTGGCGACTGCTCTCTCCCGACCAATGGCGGCAAGGGCAAAGAGGGCAGCGGCCAATGAGAGGAGAGCGGGAAGGCGGGAGGACTGCGGCGCGCGGGTGGCGGCGGCCATGAAGCGCCAGCGGTGCGGGTCGGCCCCGGAGCAGGGCTGCCTGCAGGCGTGGGCGGCCGAGTGCGAGGCCCTGGCCGGCCGATGGCGGGTGAGGCACTCCCCTGGTCCCCCTGTCCCTCCCCGCGGCCTCGGCACGGGTTGTTCCCACGAGGCTCGGCCCCGGTGTGAGGCCGGCTGGTCAGCGTGTCCGTTGCAGGCAGCGCGGTGCTCGGCGCACGGAGGAGCGGCGGCGGCGGCGCGGCAGCTGCGAGGCGCCTTCGGGGAGCTGCTGTTGCGGATGCGGGGTGAGTGGCGGCCCTGCTGCGGTCTGCCGCCTGCTGCAGACCCAGAGCCGGGCCGTACAGGGCACCGGTGTTCCCAGGCTGCTTCCCTGAGAATTCCGCTGATTGGGGTGAGCTGAAGGGAGGAGGGTGATGCATTCTGTGCTGCCTTGAAACTGAGCTCAGTCCTTAATCAAAGGGATTAAGGCTCAGCCCCGGCCTTTGTCTGAGCTCGTTGAGGGAGTGCAACCGAGTTTAGGTATGTCTGGAAAATAGGAGGAGGCCTTTCCTTGGAGAAGAGTGACTGCAGGAGAGGAACAGCTTGTCATCGTGCCATGCTGAGGAAGAGCTGTGGCTGTTCAGCTTTGGGGAGAGAAGGCTCTGGGGAGACCTGAGAGCAGCCTGTCAGTATCTAACCAGGGGGCTGTGAGAGAGGAGGAGACAGACTTCAGCAGGACAAGGGAAGTGCTTTCGAATTAAAAGAAAGGCGGTTTAGACTGGATATAACAAAAAAGGCTTTTTTACAGTCAGGGTAGTGAAGCACTGGAATGGGTTGCCCAGAGAGGTGGTGGATGCCCCATCCCTGGAGATGTTCATAGTCAGGCTGGAGGGGCTCTGAGCACCTGATGGAGCTGTGGGTGTGTCATCCAAAATCTGAGAAGAAAACTCTTAACTCCAATGTGGTGTTAGAAAGTAGCATTTCTTTATTCCTCATGATACGCACTGGGCAACTTGACAAGTCTTCTCTCTCAGAGTTCAGGTTCTACATTTAAACAAATAAGACATACATATGCAGTACATTTACATACATATTCATTCTTTTCCAAGAAATCATTAATATATGCTAATGTCCCTCTGGGCATGCGCGTTGTATTTAGGGTGGTAGTTTATCCCCATTTTTCCACCATCAGCTTAATCACTAAGACTTCTGGCTGACCTTTAGCTGTTTTTCCACAACTTGGCAAATTCCCATTGCTTGTTAGACTATAACGAGCAACTTCCAAAACAATATAAATGAAATTCAAGGAAAACGTCCTTGCACCTGGTAAAATGCAAAAATAAGTGTTGTATTATGACTCTAGTGCTTCCTGTGAAGCAAAACTAAGAGAAAATAAGGCTGTTCACACACCAGGCAAAGTTGAAATGGAAAGTTTTAGAATTAGCGTTCACTGGTTCCTTTTGCTAAGCTCTGATCTATTGGTCCTTACACTAATATACTGGTCCCTATTGCTAAACAAACTAGCCTATATCAGTTGTTCCTGATCACTGCAGAACTGGACTAGGTGACTTTTAATGCTCCCTTCCAACTCAGATGATTCTCTGATTCCTTGCTGCAAGTGGGCTACAGAGAGAATCTGATGAGAGAGCAATGCACTCTCATTTGAGAGGAGGATTTGAGGAGCAGAACAAGTTGCTCTGTGGAGGTACCTGGGGAGAGACAGTGCGGGAGATCTGTCTGTGTTCAAGATAATAGATCAGTACTGGAAGGGGGCAGGTTTTTGGTGGTCTTTTGGAAGTGCTGTAAGATAAGGCCTGGAACGCTGCAGTATCTGGATACCAGAGGAGCAGATGGCTGAATCATTGCTGGCACCTGGAGAGGTGGGGAGCATCTGCTGTCACTCTAGTTTGTGCAATCCTCAAGTTATAGATTCACACCATAACAACAAAATAAATGACAGGAAACTTGTCACAAAGCACGGGTGGTTGTAGGGCTTTCTAAAGCCGTGAAGAGGAAGATCAGTGTCTTGTTGGGTTTGATTATAGGCTTGCCACCTGCCCTCCCTGCGATGCCTCTGGAGCTTACTGTCCTCTACAACTCGCTGCTCTTTGTCATGGGAACGTCTGATTGTGCCATCAAAGGAGAAGCAGAAGGAATACGCCAAGGGCTCTGCAGGGGTAAGGAAAACTATTTCGGTGCTTTAGTGATGTACCATAATTGGCTAGAAGAGAAGGATCTTTGAACAAGGAAGACTGGCTCTGCCAGGAATGGAGGAGGTAGAGCTGCACGTGGCTGTGGATGATGTGCAGCTGTGTGGCTGTCTTGCCTGCAGCAAAACAGAAAAATTTAAGGGAACGGAGAGTTTTTACTATATAAGATGCCATTTCTCTAGCAAAGTTTTAGTGACTTTAGCAAACTAGTGTTTTTATTATGGTATGGTGGGATCAAAGAAAGCTTACTAAAAAATGCTGCAAGAGAAATTTGGAGAGAAATCTGCAGTGTTAGCACATTTGCTCTTGGACAAATAGTAATATCAGGATATAAAATATCAGGAGAGCTCAGTAAAGCTGTAGCCGTAGCTCTAAACTGTGTAGTGTCTCTTTTGTGTGAAGCCATTAGCTCCACTGTCAGAGTTTGCTTTCTGTGCTGCTTCTGTAGCCTGGGCAAGCCTTGTTAAGTCCATTCCATCCCTTACTGCCAAGGAGACCATGCTTGTATCAGCGTTTCTCTGCCTGTTGGAAAGGTGGCCATTACAGAGTATTGGCCTGTTGTCTCATGGTTGCTTTTTGGTGAGATATTTTGGTTTAGTTTTGATTTCTGGCTTATCTTTTTTTCCAGTTCTGGAGGCTTGTGGAACCTCTGGACAGGACCTTAGCACAGAAGAGCTGTGGCAGAAGGTGCTGCAGGAAGTAACTGTTGAGGAACTACAGGCACCTTTGCACCGTCTGGGGGCCTTGCAGGCAGCATGGTGGCTGGCAGATAGCTGCCTGCAGAGCATCACTGACCTCTTCCGACTCCTGAGCAGTGCTGAGGTATCTGAGCACGGATGCATGCTGAGCAGCTCCTGCACTGCCGTGTGCCAGAGTGTTTGCCTGTTGTGCTCCTCCTACAGCTCTGAAGTGTGAATTAGCCACCTTCTCTTAGCCTTGGGGATTTCTAACACAGGTTACACCTTGCCTCCTGCAGCTCTTGTAGCCTGCTTTGCTCTGCAGCTGGCACTTGAAGCTTTTTTGGGCAAGTCACGTCATTTGCAGCCAAGGCACCTGTGGGTGGGCATTAGCCAGTTTGTGTGCTCTACCCCAAAGGGAAGCGTCTGACTTGTTTGCTGCTGCCAGGAGCCCCATTTAGCCTGGGCTTGTATTTCACTTTCTTGCTGTCACTGTGAGTTTCTAAGTCATCAGTGTGTGCTGTACCTATATTTGTACAGTCTAAAATAAATGCTTGCCAGTTTGCTAAAGGATGCAGAGCTGACACAAATTCTGTGTTTGTCAGAAAGCCTACTCTGCATATGTTTCCATAGCATTTGCAGATCTGAAACACTTTTTCCCAGTCACCTCTGTTTTTACCTGGCATCCTAGTTTACTGAAAACAGACCCAAATGTGTTAATGGATCCCAGAGATCCTGGGGCACCAGGCACATGATGGAGGCTGCTGGTGGACTTGCAGTCTCTACAGAGCAAGGCAAAGAACCCTTCTTGCTGATAAGGAGGGGCAGATGCTTTCAGACAGCACTCAGACCTGCCTTGCTGGGAGTCCCTTTGGCTACACCTCACGCTGATGTGGAGAGGTGCTGCCTAGGGTCACGCAGGAATCACAGTATGAGTGGATTGTAGTTAAAGTGAGGGGGTGGAATGCTCCCCTGCAAAGATCACTGGGAAGGGTTTAGTTGGTGTTCTGTTTCCCATTACCCTGGGGTCTGTTTTTCCTATTTCTCCTCAGCATTCCCTGCCTTCTCTCCTCTGTATGTTCACAGGATCCAGGGAGAGCTCTGTGCAGTGGAGAGAAGAATGAGCTCCTCACCCTTCTCAAGGCATGGAGAGCACCTGCTGAGGAGGCCTCCGTTTCCCTTGTACAGAGCGCTGAGGACTTGAAGGGGACCCTGTGCACTGCAGCTGCCTTCTTGCAAGGTTTGTGTGAAGGAGGTGGTCACCCTTGTCACTCCCTCCCCTGCTCATTTGTCCCAGCACACCCTCCTCTCACCCACCTGCTGCTGTTGTTTTGGTTGCTCTTCCTAAGCATGCCAGCCATTGGGCTTTTCTCTTCAGAAAAGAGCCTGGACTCAGTCTTTAGGCCTAAACTTGGTATCCGGTGTTTCTCTGATTTTTCTTGCAGCTAAGACTCCCTCTTCTTCAGCCTGCCTTGTGGCTTAGCTTGGTGTATGGGATTCACAGTGACCTTGTATAAAATAGAAGGCTGACAGGGGGCTTTATTTTGTTTGTCTTTAGTTGCCTGACTTTTTGTGAGTATATTGTTCCTTCTGATTACAATGCTGTGAGAGACATGCAAAGCTATTGTGCAACCTTGTCATCTTGTATTTCAGCAGATAATTATTTAATTTTATAGAGCAGAATTTATAGAATGGTATGGGTTGGAAGGAACCCTAAAGATTATCCACTTCCAACCTCCCTGCTGTAGGCAGGGACACCTTCCACCAGGTTGTCTATAGCTCCACTCACCTTGGACACTCCTGGACTTCTCTGAGCAACCTGTTCCTGTGCCTCACTATTGTCTGAGTAAAGAATTTCCTCCTAATGTCTAATTTACATCTACCCTGCTTTAGTTTAAAGCCATTAATACTTCTCCTATCACTATGATCTGGGAAAAATGCCTTCCTCCATCTTTCCTGCAGGCCCCATTTAGGTACTGGAAGGCCACAGTGAGCCTTCTCCAGGCTGAACAATCCCAGCTCTATCTGTCTTCACTACAGGAGAGGTGCTTCAGCTATCTGATCATCCTTGTGGCCTTCTCTGAACCTGTTCCAACAGGTCTGCATCCTTGTGCTGGATGCCTCAGACCTGGATGCAATACTGCAGATGGTGTCTCACAAGGGCAGAGCAGAAAGGGACTTCCTTTCCCTGTTGGCCACTCCTGTTTTGATGCAGCCCAGAATCCAGCACAGCTGGACCCATAGGATTGCTTCTTTTGTGGGAGTAGATCTGTAAGCAAGGGATGAATGAGGAAGGTGTCTACATGTGCTTGCTTGATGGAAAGGCAAAATGGGAAGGGAAGCTGCAGAGCTGAGATATTGGATCTGTCCTAGGGTTGCAAGAGCTGGAGGCAGGGAACCTCCCCACTACCCTTTGCCTTCTCCAGGAGGCTGCAGGAGGATTCTGCTCCACGAGGGTCCTGGCCCAGATCTACGTCTGCCTTGGCTGCTGTGCTCAGAGAATGGTAATGGCCAAGCCTCACCTCCCCCCTGTTGAAGGGAAAAGGGAAAGCAGCCCAGAGCAAGCTGGGGAAATATGCTAATGTCCATGCTGCTTCTGCGTGGTCCTAGTGTGCTACAAGAAGTCAAGGTTTCAAGCAGAATTTTCCCTTGTTATTCCAGCCTCCTTGGCAGCCTCAAAATACAGGCAAGGCTTTTGTCTGAGTGTGAAAGATTGACGTGGAAAGATAAACTCAGAATAGTGGTTCCAGGGAGGGAGTCTGAAGTGCTGTGAACAACTGATATGAATATGCTGCCTGGTGGGGATGGAAGGAGTTCTGTGAGGGAGGCTGGCAGTGCGGAAGGGGATTTGATGAGCTGCTGGGCTAACTTATATGAGAGTAAACTGTCTTTGCTTAGGGGGGATCATTAGAGAAACAAAGCAGAACTGTAAAGATATCAATAAGATGTCCTTGCAGCAAACACCTCTTCCCACCTTCCTAGGGCAAGCCTCAGACAGCACTTCAGTACCTGAAGCGGGCCCTCCAGGTAGACTTCCAGTGCCATCCTGCCCTGTCTCACACTGCAGCGGTGTACCAGGAGCTGGGGGAGACAGATGCAGAGCTGCAGGCCCTATCTCTACTCTATGAGGTATGTGTCTCCTGTAGTTCTGCTGGCTTTTTTTTTTTTTTTTGTCTCACAGAGCCTGCATGGACCTTCAAGCATGCTTCTGCTTTCTGAGGGGGTTTCTAAAGTAGAAATCCAGTACCTTCAGCAACTGCTTCTTTGGATTCATCAGTGGGCAGGAAGGAGCCCAGCTTGGTCAGGAGTTCCTGCTGTTGGCACCCAGCTGTTGGATGTGGCAAGATCTCTTGAGTCCTAGTTCAGATTTTCGGTGGCTTGAGAAGAGGCTATTTTCTGGTGTCAGAGAATATCAGTCTCTTAATTGTCTAGTAAAGAGGCCTTATAAGGCAGATGGTGGCTGTAGGTGTACATTAGTCAGTCATAGCAAACTTGATCATCCTAGGAGGAGCAGGTCACAGCCATAAACACTGAGCTTGGCTCTTCAGCTGTTTGAAATGCATCACATACAAACACAGTCGTGGACAGCAGTCTCTTATTACTAATGGCCCCAGATCTGGTCTAACCAGGTCTGTGGCTGCAATGGGAGATGCTGTTTCAGACAAGTCAGAGCAATGTGAACTGAAAAGTTGGGGCACATGTTCTCTGGGTGAATGGTCTTATATATCTCCTAATGTTGTGTGGAATGTATGAATCTGCCTGTCTCGCTGTGATCTTCCTTTTCCTGAAAGTGGCTGTGATGTAGTGAATGACAATGATTTGTGCACAGGATGTATTACTTCTACTTTCTGGATACATCTGCAGATGCCAGAAATAAGAAGTGATTGCAGCTGTTTGGGACTTGACCAGAATTGTGCTGATAATATATTTTGTTCCTGTTTTGCAGGCTCTGGAAAAAAACTCTCCATCAGCTACTTCCACTAGTCCATACTTCCTAATCCAAGCAGATCTCCTTGTCAACACACCAATGTTAGCTTCTCTCCTTCGCCATCACCACCCCTCTGAAGTGAAATACCTGTTGGCACAAAGGTGTCTCCAGGATGGGAGGTAACAGCAGCTTCTAGTCTGCTTGCAACATGCTACTTGTTTGGGATCTGTGGTGGGTTTTTTTCTTCTTTTTTGTGTTCCTGGAAGTCCAGTACTGCTGTTGTAGCTCTGCTAAAGTTGTAGGTATTGTAACTAGAGTGAGTACAGTGCAGGGAGCACCTGCAGGCTGATAGTTCAGGTTAAGCCTGGCTGCTGGCACTTCTCAGGCTCACCCTGTTTTCCAACACTTGTCCTGTTTCTTCAGGGTGGCTGATGCAGTGGAACATTACCTGGATTTTCTGGCTCTGCTGCAGGAGGGACTGCAGCAACAGGCAGGTATCTTGGTGACTTGGCAGATGAAGCCTTGGCCCAGACTTCACAGCTTGACTCCAGGCTCCAGTGTCTAACCTGAAATATGGAGGAAATGAACTGGGATTTGGTGACTCTGGCCTGTCTGTTTTTGGATTCGCACAAGAGCCTGCTTGCCACTGCTGTCTGGAGAAACAGCTCCGTCTTGTAGGGAGCAGCTGTTGGCCTGGTTTTGGATACCCTTTGCTTTAGAAGTAGGGCTTTGCCTTCTTGACTGCTGAGCTATTGTTGCGCGACACCTTCTGCTTCCTGCAACAGGCTCCAGTGGCTGTGGGGATGGGTCTAAGCTTTGCTGGGCAGCAGCTCTGGGTTTCCAGTAAACATGGTTCTTTTGCTTGGCTATATCTTAGTACTGCCATCGCTTTTGCTCACCAGGTTCCCCTAGATAGTGGCTCACCTCTGCCTAGGATCCCTGAGGTGTTCCTGGAAGCAGCATCTGCCTTGGAGCAAGATGGAAGGCATCAGGATTCATTAACAGTGTGTGATGAGGTCATCAGCAGGACAACTCACCTAATCCCACAGATAGTACAAGTTGAGGAGAAGCTGGACCAGCCAGAGCACGCATCACTGGAGACTGGGCTGGCTGGTGGGCTCCTGTCTCAGAAGAGAGAGAGTCTGTTCTGCCTCATGTGGAGAGCAGCTGCTTACCTGCACCAGGGCTGGGCATGGACTAAGCTTGGCAAAGGCAAGGAGGCCATAATGCAATTCAGCAGGTAACAATGTCGTGTTGTGAGAGAGAGCCTCTCTAGCAGGCTGTAATGACTGGTTTGAGCAGAGCACAGTTCAGCATGGGGGCTGGTGTGACAGCTTACAGCTGACTTTCTAGTCCAGGCATGGCACTGAAGTTCTGTTCTACCACTTTGCAGGTGCCTCAACGACCTCTTGCGATTTCAGCCTTGTGGGCGTGATGTTGAACCAGCAGGTAGGGCACTGTGTGGTTGAACCAGCAGGTAGGCACTGTGTGGAATCTGTGTCTGGTTGTCTGCATCTGTATGCTTGGCGGGGGCATGTAAAAGAAGGTTGCATCTCCAATGCCACCTTTGGCAGGAGGTGTTTGTTGCAGTGTGCTGAGCTCTGTGCCACACTGAAAGGACTGGCTGGTTTCGTTGGAGCAGAATTTGGCCTTGCTCTGCTTTCTTCTCTCTCACAAAGGTGACAGTTAAATGAATTGTGAAGCTTCTCAGTACTGGATTTCAGAGGAAAGATTTGTATGAGATTTGCAGATGAGCAGGCAAAGGCCAAGCTACTGCTGTGGTTACTGTTACACTGTAGGCATGTAACATACCAAGTTCCTGATGTTCTTTGGTCTTACCCTTTGCTGCCTCCTGGCCTTTCCCAGCCTGGCAGCAGTCTTGGCTCTGCCGCTGTTTGTGCAGAAGGGGAACTGGAAGATGAGCAGCCCAAGCAGATCTCACACGTCTTTACCACTAACCTGTGACTTTATGTGACAGAGAGTCTCCTGCCAGAAGTGAAGGTTCTCCAGAAGATCAGGTTGCTTTCTCTGATTGGGCGAGGGATACAGTTTTTGGAGCAGGAGAGGCACAAGGAAGCCTTGCTGGATTTTCAGCATGGCTTGCAGATCTCACCAGGTAAGAGGCTCTTTTTCATGAGGAACAGAGAATTTTCACTTTTTTTTTTTTTTTTTTCCTGTACTGCTTTAATGACTTCAGCAGAAAAACATCATGATTTAGGTCATGCTTGTTCAAATACCAAGGGCTACTAGCATGTTACATATTTGAGGTGCTCCTCTGAAGCTTGGTGAGTTTGGTGAACTACTAACTATTGCTTGATGAATGCATCAGAACACTGATCATGACTACTGCCCTAAGGCAGCCTGAAAGTTTTCAGTTCTTCCTTCCTACTCCCGGTACAGTCAGCTTCTTCTCAAGAAGGTTTGCTTTTCTAGAACAAAATAGCTGGATAGATGGAGTCTTGCTTCATCCAGGGAAGGTGCCTGTCTACACCTGGCAGCCCAGAGGCTGAGTGTGGAGGCCTTTAAGGGAGAAGGGTGCAGAGCAGTGTGCTATGAGTGCTCTGGGGTGATCTCTGCAAACTCTGCTGCTCAGTGTTCCAGCAGTGCTGAGATGCTGTAGGGGTCTGAGTCTTAGCAGGATCTGCCAAAACTGGTGGTCCCAGACCTGACTGAGGTTCCTTCCCAGCCAGTGCTGTGTGCTGGGGCTGCAGATGTGTATGCTAGGAAAACCCCAACTCGTGTCCAAACAGAGGAGTGGTTGACTGTGCTGCAGGCCTGATGCCATCTGTCTTGGCTTCCATCCTGGCTGCCAGCCGCAGGGTTATAATTAGAGCCTGTGACATAGACAGTCTCCTCCCCTGTTGCACCAGCTGTCCTCATGTTCCTGCATCTGGTAGCTAAGCTTCTTTTGCAGCACTGCAGCAGTATGGGGAGCCTGATCTTTCCCTGCTAATGTCTGAATCCATCATGGTGTCTTGTAGATGACACCACTGCTGCCTTCTACCTGGTGCAAGTCCTGTGGAAACTGAACCGAAAACAAGAGGCTGCTGATTACTGGCAGAAGTACTTGGAGAGCCATGCTGGGGAAGATGGGCAGCAGGAAAGGCAAGGAAGGTGTGTAGTAGGGCATGTGGGATGTCAAGAGGCCACACACAGGAGCTCTGACAGTGCAGCCTGTGTTCTAAACAGTGAACAGTTTAACTCAGCTCCTCCTAGCCTGCACCTGCAGTTTGAATGAATCAAAGAATCATAGAATGGTCTGGGTTGAAAAGGACCACAAAGACCATCAAGTTTCAACCCCTCTGCTGTGTGCAGGGTCGCCAACCACCAGACCAGGCTGCCCAGAGCCACATCCAGCCTGGCCTTGAATGCCTCCAGGGATGGGGCATCCACAACCTCTTTGGGCAGCCTGTTCCGGTGCGTCACCACATTCTGTGTGAAATACTTCCTCCTAGTATCTCCCCTAAACCTCTCCTGTCTTAGTTTAAAACCTGAGGAGCTTTGCCCCTCTGTGTAGTCTGAGATGCTCTACAAAAGAGCAGACACAGAGCTAAAGCCTTGTTTTGTGATGGCAAAATGGGAGAGTAAAGGCTGGGGTGAGAATTGGGGGCTTTATGCAGTGCGGGAGGAGTGAACTTTCTAGTATAGTAAGACTGTGGTGAGGGAATGTCACAGATCTTATGGCTGCAACACTCTCTTCTCTTTCAGGTCCTTCCCTTTGTACCTGGACTCATGTCTGAAGCAGGCAACCTTCCCAAAGAATGAATCTCTTGCTAGATGCGTACAGGATTACCTCAGGACCACAAGGCAGGATTCCTCAAGATAGTCCAGTCTACTCATTGCCACCTGCTGAAGTTTTGCAGCCTTCCAGGGTGGCATGAGGTCCTTAAGGACTCCTCCAAGACTCAAAGCAACTTTCGGACGAAGGTGGTTTCCCAAAAGTCTGAAACAGAAGGACAGCCTCAGATCTATTTAATTTATGTAAATTCTTCTGGGACTTCTTTTCTCACAGTGAAGATCATGGTCTTGATACTGCTGGCACAGCTGTGACCCTGAGGAATATGTCCTGGGAGTGTGGGAGATGAGTGGAGATACCCTTGCTCTTTTGGAGTTAACATCAGCTGTGCTGCTGTACCGTGATGAATCCTGCTCTGTGCTCCCTGCTGCAAGGAGCTGATGGCAAAGCTGGACGTTCTTATAAAATAAAGGGTTGGCAGATGCCCTGTTTTACCTGTGTTTTGTATGTTTGCTTTTTTGCTCAGTCACTACAGTTTGGAGCCTAGAAAAGTGACTGAAGCTCAAGTATGTGGCTTGGAGCTCTGACCTCCTGTGTGGTGCATGAGCCAGCAAAAGCAACTGAGACCCAGGGCTGCTCTCCTGGCCTCTAGTGTAACCGTGGGGCTGCAATGGGGCTCCTGCTGTGCTCCTGCTACCCCCGAGAGGGAATGGGGAGCACAGGAGCCAAATTAGAGCTTTGGAAGGTGCTGGGGTGCATGGAGGTGGATGGTGTGCAGTGCCTCTCGAAGGGGTCACAACCCACGGAGTCAAACCTTCCAGAGCTGTCCCCAGATCCCTTAAATTTGGGAGAAAGCATAACAAAACCAAACCTCGGGTCCCCGTCCAGGAGCCCCAGCCTTAAGCACCCTCCCTTCGCCGGCGTGACAACACAGCGCGTCCTCACGCTCTCGCCCACGCACGGAGCGCCCGGCAGAGCCCGTGCGCGGTCATCGCACGAGTGACGCTCGCAAAGTTGTCAGTCACCAGCTCCCGCCCTTCTGATTGGATGCAGCGCTCATACTCCGTGTCTCTCCGCTCAGGTGCTAGCCAACCGTGAAGCGAGGCGGGTCGCTGTCGGGGAGGGAGCTCCCGCCTGGATTTTCCTATTGGCGGATTTTTGCTATTGGCTGCCCGGCCCGCGTTGTCTGGTAGAGCGGCCACAGCAGCGGAGCGCTGCGATTGGCTGACCATTGTGGCGCTTGGCTAGTGACGATTGGGAGGTGAAAAGGAAAGGGGCGGGGTGAAGGACAGAGGGCGCTCTTTCTTTTTCCCCCCCCCCCACCCCCTTTCTATCCGCTTTCTGATTGGCCGAGCTCCGCGCGGGGCGGAATTTCCGATTGGCCAGCGCACACTGTTGCTAGGCAGGTGAGGAGGCGCGGGGCGGGGCGGAGCTCCCCCTTCCGATGAGTCGGCTCTGAGCTTCAGTCAGCGCGAAGCGCCCCGACCCGCGTCCTCCGCGAGCCCGCCCCGAGACCCGCGTCCGCCGCCGCCGCCCGCTCTGAGGAGCCGCCGTCGCGCGCTTCCCCTCGCCCCTTTCCCCTCAGCGCCATGGCCTCGGGATCCGAGTAAGTGTGAACTCCTGCCGGCAGGCCGCGGCCTAGGCCCGGCGCTCAGGCATTGGGCCCGGCACGGCCTTCTTGCCCGTCCCTCGCCTCGGCGCCGCACAGCGCGGCGCTGCCGGGCCGGGCCGAGCCGTTCGGAACGCGGCCAGGGCCCGGCTCCGGCTCCCGATCCCGCTGTGTCATGCAGGCCCGAGCGGGCGGAGGCGGGGCCGGGGGAGGAGGGTGGGCCGCTCTTCGCGCTCCCGGCCGGGCGCGTGCCCGCAGGGGGCCCTCGCCGCCCCCTCCCGCCTACCGTGCCCGGGAAGCGACGAGTCACGGCGGGGTGAGGCTGGGCCTTCTCGCCGCACCCCGCTGTCCCGCCCGCGCTGGGTCGCGGTCGAGCGGCGCTTTGTCTCGCGGGACCCGGAGGAAGCGGTGGAGCGGCCGGCGAGAGGGGCAGAGCCGCGGCCCGCTCTCCTTCCCGTGAGCTCCGAGCCACCCCCGGGCCGTGGCCGCGGCCTGGCAAGTGACTCGGCGTGGGGAGAAACGGGCGTGTTGTGCTGTGCCGGGCCGACCCCGCGGCAGCTGAGGCGGTCCGCTCTATTTTCATCTCCCGTGCCTTTGCCTCGCGCCGCTCTCGGTTCCGGGCTGAGGATCGTCTTTCACGCTTCTCAAAAATGAGCTGGGCAATAACAGTCCCGCAGCTTCCATCCCACGTGCTCACACCGCTGGGTTGGCTCTTGAAATGAGTAAAGACGGCGCCCGAACTGATTCCCTGAATCCGGAAATACTCTGTGGCATTGCCAGAGGCACTTTCGGTCACTTTAGTGTCTGTTGTTTGTGTTCTCATTTTCTTTTGCAACTCCTGAAATTTAGACCTGGTCCTGCTAAATCAGTTCCTTGAAGGTGTGCCAAGAATTCAGCATCTGTGGTAGAGCTTGTGATGAAGGTGATAGTCTAATAGAACTATTTTTTAGCTGAGTGAAAAAGACATATTTTCCTTTTGCGAAGTTTTCTCACCACATAGAAAGTTACTCGAGTAGGGAACAGTTGCCTTTTAGCCACAGTTTTTAGTTCAGTGCTGTTGGCAACCATCTTGTTGAATTTTAGCACTGCATGAGCTAACAGAGTTTGGTTTCTTGAGAGATTTTTGTGTGCGTACCTGTCTGGCTCATCTTCAGCGTGCCTTTGAACTCACTGCTTGGTCGTCCTGTGCTGTTCCAGTAAGTGGCTGCAGTCATCTGAAATGCCATTCATTTGCTTTAATGGATAAAATGTTTTATAGGCTTTTAATATCTACCTGGGGAAAGCAGCTCCATTTGTATCGTGGATGTTTGGGCTCAGGATGGTAAGAAGCTACTGACAGGTTTGTCTCAGAAGGACGTTAATAAAAAAGCCCAGCAGCCTCCAGAAGGCATGATTGTTTTCACTTTCATTGCTGAAATTGGAGTCATCTTGAGTCAGTGACCTTTCACCATGTATTTACCATGGACTTACAGGAATATATTAGTTCCCTAGTTCATCAGGATTTCTTTTCTTTAGTGTTTTTGTTTGTTTTTTTTTTTCAGGAGAATGGCTAATGAGTGATTATTTTCTGCTTGCTTCATGTTGTCTGCCATAATTTACAGCCTTTGGGTGTTACTGTCTGCTGAACAAAGGTGCTCTGATGCACAGAAAAATGTTAGAAGTGTGGAAATATTTTAGAAGCCCCTCTCTACTCTAAAAAAGGAGTGAGAGGAAAAATGAGTGAGGGAGTTGACAATAGGGGTGAGTGGGGGAGGTGATCTGAAGATGTTGCAGTTTCTGGCAGAAAACTCGTAGAGGAGCATTAAAAGTTACTCAGGCCAGGTGTCTGTCTTGGCACTTCACTGGAGTTCACCAGCACACACAGGAGGACTGGCAGAAGAGGATCACAATGCATGTCATAGGTTTCCAGCTTAGTATTTCAGTTTGGGCTCTCCTTTTGAGGGGCATGTTTTGTTCTGTCTTTTCAGTTAATGCTTGAGAAGCCCCCAGGAGAGGTAGAACAAAAACAAATAGTGATGGTGATATTCTGAGTTGTAACTGAAAGACAGGGCAACACTTGTCTGTCAGAGCTGGCACTGTCCTGTGTGACTGTTGTGTAATTTCCTAAAACCTTTATTTTTCTTTTTTTGCACAACAATTAGGTTGGATAACTATAACTACTATAATTAGACCCCAGACATTTAGATATGTGTATGCTGATTCCTCTAGATTTTTTTTCTAATGCTTCCAAGTTTCTTCAATTGCTCTAGGTGCCGTAATGTAATGATAGCATTGATTCAGCACTTGCTTCTTAGCTAGGAAACTGCAGATTCAGTTCTTTGGTACCAAAACTTTCTCCTCGCATTCAGCAGAGCTAAATGTACCTCTTGCTGTGCTGTTCACTGCTGTGTACTGCAAAGTGTTTGCACTTTTTCTCCTCAGCTTTTATGCAGCTTTTGGTTTATTGAAAGCTTTGGTCAGAAACTTTTTCACTTGCTGCCCAATTTCTCTTCCATTTTTATCTTGTGTCCTGGCATGTATTTTAGGCTGCATAATAATCTCTGCATCCCAAAAGATAGTTACTCAGTTTCAATGACAATTTATGCAGCCAAAGTCTGGCAATGGTTTCTTATCAAAGGGCCTTTGGATCCGGTCTGATGTATGGAGGAGTATGATTTGCATTCAAACTTGAACAGACTAAATAGAGGTATTGTTGCTGTCTGGTGTCCCCTAGTTTGAGATTTGCAGTGCACCTACTGAAATAATTTCCTTTGCCCAGGTGCTTATGCTAAACAAAGTACTTTATTTGTTTGCTGTTTTGACTACTGGCCTGGTGGCATATTGGTCCCAGTTTTCTCAGTTAGGGTTGTTTTGTTTCTGCGTGTGTAAGTCCCAGCCTATTTAGGATGTTGCTGAGACCGCATTTTCCCTTGAAGATGGCAGCTGTGGGCTTCTTCCTGCTTGTATACAGCAGCTTTTCTTGTATCCCACTGGGTTTAGAGAGTGGGTCTGGAGCATTTTGCACAACGATTGAAAGGGGGATATATTAATTTCTTACACGTTGCACATGAATGAAGAAAGGGAAAAAATTGACTTGCCCAGTGCTCGCAGTCCTGGAAAAACATGTTTTACAACTCCTTATTTTGTTCGCTTCCCTGTCATTTGCAACATGTTTCCTCTGCTACTGGGACTTATGCAAAGCTTGAAGACCTTTTAGAAAGCCACTGACTGCGCTCCCTGGCTGCTGCTTGTTGTCCCTCTCTAAGTGTCAGGGAAAAGAGGTGGCTCCACAAAGTTTGTCTTGGAAAAACTTCTGTCTTGAGTGTGTGGGGGTGACGTCGTGCTGTAGACGAGGTATGACAGACCTTCCTGATATGCTTCTCAAGATGCAGTGACCCTGTTAAGCGCAGTTAATCCTGCAGCATGCTGCATTCGTACTGAGTAGTGCTTGTTATTCTGCTTCCACTCGAGGTTTGACTTCCGGTTATTTTGTCCCTCAAGAGCTAAATGGAGCCAACATGGTTGTCCACAAAGAGCTGCCTGCTCTTTGCTGCTTGCTCAAGACAGAGAAAAGCATTTTTATTATTGTCAGAATCAAGCTGAACTCTGCATTATTTTCTGTGACCTTAGATGTTGGCACATCTGAACAACTTAGAGAAAAGTAGTCAGATGTCTGTTGGGGGAAGTTACAACCATATTGCTTTTTTGTCTGGCTGAAGTACAAGTCCAGGAGCTCCTCAGGAATCAGTTGGCTCCAAATCGTGCTTTTTTTTTTTTTTTTTTTTTTTTTTTTTTAAGAAAGTGTATTAATCTGCCTTTCTTTCATTTCCTTACTATTTCTATTTGCCTTGACAAAGTCAAGCAAACCATTTTCTGTTGTATTTCTTATGGTGTAGTGTGCTAGAG